ATTCCTTCCCACAGACCGGTACGCTCCCACAGAGTGGGTCTCCTCAGGGTGCCGTCGGCCAAGCAGTGTCGGCTGGCGACCCCCAGGGGGAGGGCCTTCTCTGTGGGTGCCCCTACCCTCTGGAATGAACTACCCCCCGAGATCCGGATAATTCCGGATCTCCTTACCTTCCGTCGCGCCCTCAAGACATGGCTCTTTCCGCAAGCGGACCTGACCTAGGGTGGATTTTATATTGGGTTTTAAGTATTCGGAAGACGCAACATTAAAATTCGGTTTAATTTGGTTTTAAGGGGGGGATTGTATATATGTTCTGGTTTTAAATATGTTGTGCGCCGCCCTGAGTCCCGTCGGGAGAAGGGCGGCATATAAATTAAATTAAATAAAATAAAAAAATAAAATAAAATAAAGTAATATTTTAATGTTATAATAAAACTGTATTATTAATTTGTCGATATATTAATGATCTAGTGGAAGGAGCTGGTTTAAGCCTTGAGGAAAGACACCAAGCAGAAGAACCATGTTGGAACAGAACAGAACAGAACAGAAGCTGGAAGGGACCTTGGAGGTCTTCTAATCCAGGCCCCTGCTCAAGCTGGAGAAACTATAACATCTCAGACGAGTGATTGTCTATAGTCTCTTCTTAAAAATCTCCAGTAATGGAGCGCCCATGATTTCTGAAGGCAAGCTGTTCTACTGGTGAATTGTGCTCATTGTTAGCAAGTTAGCAAGTTTCTCCTTAATTCCAGTTTGCTTCTCCTTTTGATCAGTTTCCAGCCATTGTTTCTTGTCCTAGTTTACAGCAGCTTAAAATCAGAAAAATTCTGGGAACTTTTTTTCGAATATATAAAAGGTCTTGGTTGTTGAAGGGAGGATGCAGCATTCTTCCGATAAATAGGAGATGTTGTACAGGAGCTTAAGGTCTTAAACAATGAAGCCCAGAGAGCACAAAAGACTCTGAAAATGAATTTAGTTTGATGGATCCTTGTTGAGACCCCATACCTTCCACGGTTGCAGCCTTGGAGCCCCCAACCTCTCTTCACCCTTCTTCCTTCTCCTCTGGGGCTTGGATGCAGCACTTAATGCGTGGGCCAGAATCTTAATGACACTATAAGTAACGGCTGTATTTCCAATCCGCATCCTATTCTTTTTCTCTTGGGTCTCCACTGGGGCTTTCTGGGTGCATCTTCTCCGGCCTTTGACAGAAAAGGTGTGTTTTGAAACAGAACACTGAAAATCCTCATTTTGAAATTCCACAAAGATATATGGTTTATAGGCATTATTGTTTTCCCAATTCTTTTTCCACTGAAAAGTAAAGCTGCAAATACTATGGACATACTTGAGATACCATTTCTTGTTAGCTGAAAATACTCCAATCACTGTAATCACTTTTGCTTCAATGGGTCCAGGCAAACCTTCAAGTGCTGAATGGAAGGGAAGAATTCTGTCCCGAAATGAATCATATTCCATGAAGTGAACAAAGACGTTGACTTGTCTCCACTTAGAGAGGGCATCACTGAGGAATGCTGTACGTCCGGTTGTTGAGAACCGTTGTGATATAACAACACAAATTCTATTTTTGACAAGCATAGGAGTAAAAGTCCTCATGAAATTCTCGCCCTTCTCTGTGTCTGGAGCAAAGAGACCAATCAGGGTCCATCCAAAATGGAGGAGCAATTGGACAATTCCTGGGTACGTGATCCCTTCTTTGGGGAGCATCGGATGGAAAAAAGGAAATTGACTTTTATCATTCAGAGTCTCTAAAGCAATTCTCTCACTGACCTAAAAAAAGGAATTCTGTGTTATATTTGGGGTCCTACAACTCCCATTTTTTAGCTTTTAATAAATCCAATATTTTTCTCATGCACACAATAACAATAACAATAACAAAGTAGTAAGGTACCTTGGAGGTCATCTAGTCCAACCCCCTGCTTAAGCAGGAAACCCTATACCAGTGATGGCGAACCTTTTAGAGACCGGGTGCCCAAACTGCAACCCAAAACCCACTTATGTATTGTCGGGTGCTGGGTGGGCATGGCCCATTGGATGGGTGTGGTCAATTTGGTGGGTGTGGCCCATTGGGTGGGTGTGGCCCATTGGGTGGGCATGGCTGTGGTGGTAATGGCAGACTGGGTGGGACTAAAAAGTTCAATCAATCAGTTCCAACTTTGCGAGATCTTTTTTTTCCCACGAGAAGTTGAAATTGATTGATGGCAGCGGAGGCCTACAGTGAAAAGGTTTTATAAAACCCAGCTTAAGGCCTAGGACTGGGGCGATGGCGCACGTGCCCACAGAGAGGGCTCTGCGTGCCACCTGTGGCACGTGTGCCATAGGTTTGCCACCATGGACCTATTCCATTTTGGACAAATGGCTGTCCAGTCTCTTCTTAAAAACTTGCAGTGTTGGAGCATTCACCGCTTCTGGAGGCAGGTTGTTCAGCTGGTTAATTGTTCTAACTGTCAAGAAGTTTCTCCTTAGTTCTAGGTTGCTTCTCTCTTTGGTTAGTTTCCATCCGTTGCTTCTTCTCCTGCCTTCAGGCGCTTTGGAAAATAGTTTGACTCCCTCTTCTTTGTGGCAGCCCCTGAGATACTGGAACACTGCTATCATGTCCCCCCTCGTCCTTCTCTTCATTGAACTAGACATACTCAATTCCAGCAGCCGTTCCTTATATGTTTTAGCCTCCAGTCCCCTAATCATCATTGTTGCTCTTCTCTGTACTATTTCTAGAGTTCTCAACATCATTTTTACATCGTGTTGACCAAAACTGGATGCAGTATTCCAAGTGTGGCCTTACCAAGGCATTGTAAAGTGGTATTAATACTTCACGTGATCTTGATTCTATCCCTCTGTTAATGCAGCATAGCACTGTGTTGGCTTTTTTGGCACCTGCAGCACACTGCTGGCTCATATTTAAGTGATTGTCCACTAGGACTCCAATATCCCTCTCACAGTTACTACTATTGAGCAAGGTACCCCCTATACTATACCTGTACGTTTGGGTTTTCTTCCCTAAATGTAGAACCTTACTTTTTTCACCATTGAATTTCATTTTGTTAGATAGTGCCCAGTGTTCAAATCTGTCCAGATCCTCCTGTATCTTAAGCCTGTCTTCTGGAGTGTTGGCTATTCCTGCCAGCTTGATGTCGTCTGCAAATTTGATGAGTTCCCTATCTATCCCCTTGTCCAAACCGTTGATGAAGATGTTGAAGAGCACTGGGCCCAGAACAGAGCCCTGGGGCACCCCACTACACACTTCCCTCCATGTAGATGCGGTTCTATTGAGGACCACTCGCTGAGTACGGCCGATCAGCCAGCTACGGATCCATCTGGTGGTGATGCTGGCTAACCCACATTTTTCTATCTTATCAAGTAGTAGGTTGTGATCTACTTTATCAAATGCCTTACTGAAGTCCAAGTAAATTATATCCACAGCATTCCTCTGATCTACTAATTTTGTCACTTGGTCAAAGAATGCAATAAGATTTCTCTGGCATGATTTGTTTTTGACAAACCCGTGTTGGCTTTTAGTAATGACTTTGTTTGCTTCTAGGCGTTCGCTTATTCATTCTTTGATTACCTTTTCCAGAATCTTCCCAGATATTGAGGTCAGGCTGATAGGTCTGTAATTTCCTAGATCCATTTTTTTCCTTTTTTGAAGATGGGAACTACATCAGCTCTTTTCCAGTCTTCTGGTAGTTCCCCAGTGCTCCAGAATCTTTGAAAAATATAGTTTAGTAGTTCTGAGATCACATCTGCCAGTTCCTTGAGAACCTTGGGGTATAATCCATCTGGTCCTGGTGATTTGAACTCGTCTAGGCTGGACAGGTGCTCACTTAAGATTTTCTTGCTTATCTTAACTTGTGTTTCTATTCTGTTTTTATGGCACTATTTTTGATAGGTTGATCTGTTTTTTCCCTTTGTGTAAAGACAGATGCAAAAACAAGTTAAGTAGTTCTGCTTTCTCCCTATTGCTTGTCACCTTCTTGCCACTTTCACCCACTAATGGACCAATCATTTCCTTCACTACTAGAACATTTCCTGTTGATTAGTCATTAGGCCATATCAAGATACAGAATTATAAAACACAGAACATCAACAAGATTGCATATAAAAACAGAATTTGGAAAAATAAGTACAATAGAATAATCATAAAGAATGAAAATAGTATTTCTTTATAACCCCAGAATTTACTATTATCAGACCATAATTTCCTTCCGAAAAGAGTTTTATTATATATAATTTTTGAATTCTGAGCACAGAGGAAATACATTTTTTTAATATTAGGATCCCAATAGATTGCTTCTCTAAAGTGCAATCCAAGATATTGATCTCCCTCTTTCTTAAATAACTGACATTCAAAATAATAGATGTATTACATATTCTATTTCTGGAGCTCCACAAATACAAGTATATTCATTGTAAGGAGTTTGGAAGATTGAACTCAATACTTGGAAGGTACATTTGTAGCAGCCGATGCCTTTCAGTGTGCCAACCTTACTGAAGATGGCCCTACTTTTCTCTATTTTGACCATCTTGGATTCTTTGTGCAGCATTTTTTTAGGTTTTTCTCGAGTGGCAAAAAAGACAGGGAGATGACAGTTCCCAATATAAAATCAGGAATGTTTTAAATGAAATTTGTTTGTTCTAATAGCGTTTGAGGACTCTTATCAGTTTCCCTACTAATAATATTATTAAATTATATGCCCCAATTTCATAAATTGTATAAATTCCCAATTCTTCTCAAAGGGCAGGATCTGAAGTCCTTTCATCCACCCTCAAGATACTTCTCAGATGATATGATCGGATTTGCTATAGTAGTAATATAAATTAAATCACAAAGTTCAGCTCAATATAGGTGCATAATGGTAACATTGGTATTTTGTATTTAATAATTCAGTCTAAGGAAGCAGCATAGCTATTATTTTTTAAAAAGAAATTAAGAGTGCATTAATTTCTGCCTTCTAATAGAGCTCCTTTGATGTTGAGGGAGCCCAGATCCAGAAATGTTCCCCCAGGTAAGGAAAGGTGTAAACTTGCTCTGTTGCCTCTTCGTCGATTAGCCCTATATGGCAATGCTGTCATTTTCCAAAAACCATAACTTTTGACTTTGACTCATCTAAAATCAGATAATTATTATGAGAATAGGAGCCAAGTGCTCTTAACAGCACATGCAACCCAAATGTCATATTGGCAACACATTTGTCTTACCTTTTGGTACATTCTCATGGCTCCATTGAGCCCCAAACAAACTCTCTAAGAAAAGAACAAAAATGGGATGGAAGGGACCATGGAGGTTTTCTAGTCCAACCCTCTGCCCATAGCAAGAGATCCTATACCAATCCAGACCAAATGAATCTCCAGCCTCTTTTTGAAAATCTCCATTAATGGAGCACCCACAACTTCATGAGGCAAGCCGTTCCACTCATTAATTTTTCTCACTGTCAGTGCTTGTAGAAAGGGCTTTGAGCAGGGTCAACATCCATTTGAAGGGCAGTCAATTTCTTTCATAATATTTCTTTGTTTACTATGTCAAATGCTGTAAAGGCAGCAAGTCATTATTTCCTCTGACTGATATTTTTATAGTTAGATGGTTCAAGACAAAATAATTGTCAAGAGTGGATCACATCAGCCTAAAGACTGCTGGTTCTTCTACAAGGAATGCCCTTTTCATCCACCTACTATCAATTCTTTTCAAGTGGATGTTTGCATATATTTTAGTCACAGTATCTGTTAGATAATTGGAATTGCTAGGGTCCTTTTTATCCCCTTTTTTATATGTAGGAATTACAATTGCCATCTTTGACCCAAATGGGCATGGCGGATATCATTTTTATATGTAAATGTATCTGTCAATGGAGGGTTCCACTAGTCAGGATATTTCTTGAATTGTTCAGCTGGTAGAAAATCCTCTCCAGAGGCCATATTGCTCTTCAAACCTTTTATGATGAATTTGAACATGAGAATTTTAGGGCAAAAAATAGTTGATACGTTGTCTAACATATTGGTAGATTTTTAATAAAATGGTTGGATAATATTAGTGGCCCCTAAAGGTTCATAATACATTAATAATAATAATAATAATAATAATAATAATAATAATAATAATAATAATAATAATAATAATAATAATAATAATAATAATAATAATAATAATAATAATAATAATAATAATAATAATAATAATAATAATAATAATAATAA